TCAACAGAGCACAAGGACATCTACCCACCTGCCTCATCAGCAACTAGTGGAAATGAGGGACAGGAAACACTCCAATGGCCCAACTCACATCAAACAAAATGATTGCACCTCTTTCAGAGCTTTTAGAGAAGAACTATGAGAACCTTTAAATCATGTGCCCATTCCCCCCATTGGGGAGCTGTAGTGGAAGCACTGTGCTGAAATATTGATGCTGCTTTCAGGTTCTGCAAGGAAGAATTCTGTGATCAGTTACCAAAGTCTGCCATTGACACTGAAGTGGAAATAGAGTGGTGCCATTTGTATGTGAATTATGTATTAAAATAACTATTAAAATTAAAATATTATCTCTATTAGATGATTTCTGAAAGATGTTTGAGAACTTGCATATACCTTTTACTTAAGTTTCTTACTGATCACCCACTTAACTGTCTGCAATAAAATACACATTATTGAAATTATTTTAAAATATTTGGTAACTATAAGACAAAGTTTTAAATTTTTATAGATTGAATTGAATTATAATTATTAACTTATAATTTATCAAAATAACATGACTATATCAAATTTTTTAAAATAATTATTAATTATAAATGTGACTTTAGAAAAAGAAACTATATTTCCTAATGAGATGAAGAGAATCAGGCTGTTTTCTTTCATTCCAGCTCATCTATCTTGATAAAAATTACTTATCGCTAGAATAAGGCAGAGTTTAGGTTGTGAAAGACTTTGACATGGACAGAAGAGCATATTAGGTATCCTTTCAAAGAAAAGCTGAGTGTTGCCTTGAAGGACTCTCCTATCCCCTATGCAAAAGGTTATAAGATTCTATAAGGGTATGTGCTTTTGATTGTCTTTGACAGTTAATTTTATAATTCTGTTAAATCGTGGCAAATTAAAATTCAATTATTTTTTATATTTTATAAAAATATAAACTAATTTTGTCTAATAGATAAACAACTGATTTTTGCTTTTTAAAAAACATGATTCTACACATTAGATTTCATTGCCCTGTAGGCAATTATAATAACCTGTTTTACATCTATTAGAAAATTCACATCAGCATTCATGATTGTCTTTATATGTGTATACATGAGCCAGGACTTCTCCTTTTGAATATAATGCTGTAATAATCAATTGTATTTTCACCTTTCATTTTTATAGACAAAATCCCTAAGAAACTATCCACATATGTATGTTAAAGGAGTTTATTTATAGTAACCGCATTCTATCTTTGAACGTCTGAGTTATAGGTCAAATCATATAAAAATCTATTATCAAAGAATATTTGTAATTATTTTAGAGCTGAAATTTTAATTTTGCCCTTCTTCAGTTTTAGGGTCATTTGTTTTCTCAAAATTATGTCTTTTAAACCTCTCTGAACCTCTGGAGATGTTTATATGGTGAGACAGTGTACCACAGTAACACTCAGAATAGGTGAGAAGTCTTCATTCATTTTGTAAAGTGGAAAGGTTGCTGTGAAAAATAGGAGATTGGAGAGAAGACCATGGCTTATACTAAGAGCATTTTGGAAAGAATGTTTATAAATTGAAGAGGTAGATAATGATAATAAAAATACCCTAGAGCTGGGCATGGAAGTGCATGCCTGTAATTCCAGTAACTCAGAAAGCTAAGGCAGGAGTATGACAAATTCAAGGTCAGCCTGGGTAACTTAGCAAAACTTTGTCTTGAAATAAAATAAAAATGGCAAGGGATGCCTCCTAGTGGTACAGCACTTGTGAGGCCCTGGGTTCAATTCCCAGTATCATTTTGAAATAATATCTTGGAAAGTCTTTGTGAACGACCATGAACATGTATGTCCAGTGTGAAAACCCACTCCCAAACTCTTAAAGGAGAATACTACCCCATGCAGAAGCAGTTAATTCAATAGAATCAGCATAAGAGTCCCCACACTTTGACTTTGATTGCTTCCCAGTTCCCAAAGCTTGACTCCTTTCTGACTCCTACTTCTAGAACTGCCTTGCTGGACTCCCGGTTTCTCCCAGCAACCTCCATACAAACTTTGGGTGCTTTGCCTCTGGCATATGGACTGACTTGGACTTTGATTCATTGATTCTCTGAGGTCACCCTGACTCTCTTGCTTGGCATTCTGCAAAACCTCCCATTATCCCAGAGAGTGTTTACAAAATGCTTTTTAAGCTTTGCCCTCCAAAGCTTTTAGGAGTAAAACCATGGAAGAAATAGAGGTCATAGCTCAAAACGCTCCACAAAGAGAGCAAATTTATTAAGTCTCTTGCTTTAGCTTAAACTTTCATTTGAACTTTAAATTCATAGTTTATCAACATTCATCTTAGCGCTTTACAATAGGTAGGGTTGCTTGCCACTGAATAAAATTGATCCTGGAAGAAGACGTGTCAGAATTATTTTGTGACTTAGACTGCTCCCTTGCCATTTCACCAGGAAGTTCTGTTTAAGAGGTATATCATGAAATCACTTAAAATGATGACATGATGTTCACTGAGCCATCCTTAGCAGAGAGCTGGCTCTGGAAGAATAAAGCACAAGTTGAGTGAATTTTGAAGTGGAGAAGAAGATGGATAAGAGAGTTGAGAACATGCAATCCTGCCCACTCCAAATGGACATTGTAATGGACTCCTGGAGAGACAGTGGGACACCCTGGAACAGTGGATGCTTTATGACAAAAGGCACTAAAAATATGTAGAGAGAGAAAAAAAGAAGGGTGCAAAGGAGGCTCACCAAGGGCAAAATTAGATTATTCACAACTGACCAGTCGTCCTCCAGATTAACCACTCACATATCATACAGGGAGGAGCCAGAGCTTATGCTTTAATTGACACTTGAAAGCAGCATAACCCAAAATCCAGCTCTCTGTTGAAATGACAGACTCACTCAGTCCTCAGCCAGCAAAGATCTGGGGCAGGAGAGCTCTTTAGGAGGTGACGAGAGGAGCACTGAATCTTGCTCACCAGGAAGGACAATGTCAATCACTCCTTTTTATCCCAGGCAGAGTTAGAATCAAATGTTTGCTGTGTTCATGGTTTCAGAGGGAGAAATAAAAACGGCTTGTTATTTTCATTCTTCATTTGCACAGTGGGCAAGAAGTGACACAGCCCAAAAGAGGATGGGCCTGGAAAGACATGATCTGCTGTGTCCTCACAGCTCCAACAGAGAAGACAGACATGCCCCCAAAGGTGTCACCTACTGTGGACACCAAGTCCGTGGTCTGTTTTTTCAGCCTCTTTTCTAAAGCCACTAAATCATGGGCCATCTAAACAATAATATTCTAAGATGGAACGATCACCTGTCAAACAAATTTTTGATTCAGAAAGTATGTCAGGGCAAGAGGGTAGCAGCCACCTGCCTGTGGCCCCAAGAAGTCTATATTTTAATGCTTGTGAGATGGCCAATAGCCATGTTCATTAAATATGTACATAGTACATATAAAGATAAACCCATATTATATGCACCCTCTTTTTCTCTTCATCTACTTGCTTCAAGCATCTTGGTAGACACTAGGAGAAACCCAAAGAAGCAAAAGGTGTGGGCCCTGCCTTTTAACCATTCTCCAACTAGTTAGGCAAATGGGATTAACTCAGTGGTGACTATTATTGAGCAATAAAGATGTTCCAGCCTTAGTTTCATGGGAAAAGAGACAGTGAGCCAAGCCAGAAAGGTAAACAGTGTTTGGATGGCTCTGAGACACAAGACATACCTTTCAAAGTCTGAGCACAGAGGGTGAAAAATAAATGACCACACTAAGAGGGACAGAAATAGGGAAGGGAAGGAAAGGGGTGACCATTAAAGATGGAGCCTGACTGGCAAGGACAGCTGTGTCAGGATCAGTGGAAAATAAGCCAGGTTAAAATAAAGAAGGTGGTTCGACAAGATAATATAAGAGGATATAATTTATTATTTTCTTTTTCTTAAGCTTTTTTTTTTTTTTTTGGTACTGGGGATTAAACTCAGGGGCACTCAACCACTGAGCCACAACCCCAGCCCTATTTTGCATTTTATTTAGAGACAGGGTCTCACTGAGTTGCTTAGCACCTTGCTGTTGCTGAGGTTGGCTTTGAACTCGTGATCCTCTTGTCTCAGCCTCCCAAACCGCTGGGATTACAGGTGTGCACAACTACGCCTGGCTAAGCCCTTCTTTTTTAAGGCATGGGATATGATGCTTTGATATACATAGCAACTAAGGTCAAGTAAATTAACATATCCATCATCTCACCTAGTCCCCTTCCTTGGGCGGCAAAGAAGGGGTTTAGTTCAATCTACTCTCTGGGCCAATTTCCCATAAATGATATAATATTATTGACTATAGCCCTAATGCTATATGTTGGATCTCTGTCCTTAGTCAGCCCATATAATTGTGTCTTCATATCCCTTGATCTATATTGCCCCATTTCCCCCACCCCTGATAACCACCTTTCTGTTCTGTTTCTATATACTTGATCTTTCTTTTTCTAGATTCCACATGTAAATGAGATCATGCAATTTGTTTCTCTGACTCATTTCACTTAATGTCCTCTAGGTCCACTCGGGTTGTAAATGGCAGGTTTCCTTTTTTATATTTATATTTCACACAACTTCTTTTCCGTTCACCCATAACAGACACTTAGGTTGCTTCTAAATCTTGGCTCCTATGAATAGTGCTTCAATGAGAATGGATGTACAAATGTTTTTTGTGTGTTCTTGATCTTCATTGTTTTGAATATACTCAGATAGTTCTGGCTTTAATTTTTTGAGGAATCTCCATACTGTTTTCCACAATGGCTTTATCAATTTACATTTCCACCAACAATGTGTATACTTGTTCTCTTATCTATTCCAACAGGTATAAGGTAACATCTTCTCATGGTTTTGATTTTCACTTCCCTAATATTAGGCACCTTTTCATATACCCCATTAATATGTACACAGTTTAGTTATTGTGAATTGTGCTGCTATAAACATTGATGTGTCTGTGTCCCTGTAGTAGGCTGTTTTTAAGTCTTTTGGGTATAGTTCGAGAAGAGGAATACCTGTGTCAAATGGTGGTTCTATTCCCAGATTTCCAAGGAATCTCCATATGGCTTTCCAGATTGGCTGCACAATTTGCAGTCCCACCAGCAATGTATGAGTGTACCTTTTTCCCCCACATCCTCACCAACACTTATTGTTGTTTGTCTTCATAATAGCTGCCATTCTGACTGAAGTGAGATGATATCATAGAGTAGTTTTGATTTGCATTTCTCTGATTGCTAGAGATGATGAACATTTTTTCATATATATATTGATTGATTGTATATCCTCTTCTGAGAAGTGTCTGTTTAGTCATTGTAGTGCTGGCTTGGTTACCATGAACCCTTTTAGTTTATTCTTGTCATGGAAAGTTTTTATTTCCCCTTCAAATTTGAAACTGAGCTTTGCTGGGTATAGTAAATTTGGCTGACAGTTGTTTTCTTTTAAAGTTTGTAATAGCTCATTCCAGGCCCTTCTTGATTTTAGGATCTGAATTGAGAAATCAGATATGTGCCTAATTGGTTTGCCTTTAAGTGTGATCTGATATTTCTCTCTGGCAGCTTGTAATATTCTTTTCTTATTTTCTATGTTAGGCATTTTGATTGTGGGATGTCTTGGAGAGTTTCTCAATTGAATATCTGGGGGTCCTGAATGCCTCCTTGTATATAAATGTCTGTCTCATCTTTGAAATGGGAAAAAATTTCGCTAAGTTATTGAAAATGTTCTTAATGTCTGTAGTTTGTATGTTCATGCTCTCTTCTATCCCAGTGATTCATCTTTTGATATTGTCCAAGAGTTCTTAAATATTCTGATCTTGATCTATATATTTTCCCTTTATTGCATTCTGTGTATTTAGTTTATATATACCCTGTATTCAAGGTCTGAAGTTTGTTTTCAGGAGCTGGAGTTATATTTTCTATGTAATCTAATCTGTTAGTAATGCTATCAAGCAAAATTTTTTTAGTTGTAGTTGGACACAATACCTTTATTTTATTTATTTATTTGTGCTGAGGATCAAACCCAGGGCCTTGCACATACTAGGCAAATGCTTTACAGCTGAGCCATAACTCCAGAACTCAAACAATTTTTTAATTTGATTGATTGCATCTTTCATTTCCAGGAATTATAATTGATTTCTTTTCACTATTTCTATTTATTTATTGAAGTAGTCTTGCACTTGCTATATTAGCTTTCTTAATTCATTCCTTAGATTTTCTTTTAGTTTATTGAAAATTTTTATAATAGTTTTTTATAATCTTTGTCTGGGATTTGTCCACATCGCTATCAATGGGATCCTTTTGGGGGGATTGTAAATTTTAGAAGGTAAGATTTGTTTGCCTGTTTCTTCATGTTTTCTGAGGTCTTGAACTTGCACATCAAGATAGGTCCCCCTTTCCTTTTTTTACACATGTCCATTTATGTGTAATTTTCTTATTTGTTCTGGAACTTCTCTCTGATCTGGATATATGAGTAGATGTCAAAAGGTGAGACCTGAGATTCCTCTATGATTGTTTCTCCTTGGGTGTTTGTTATTGGTTTGGGGTTTTTGTCTTCTCAATTCTTTAAATTGAAGTAACATTAAGACTCATTTGGGGCTAGACTGTATGTAGGGAGAAATTCACTGTTGCTTGGTTGAGATGTGAATATTTCTCAGCAGCAGAATCTCTATTCTGTGATTTAAAGTTTCCAAACGCTTCCAGGCAGTGAAAATCGAGGACTAGAACAAATGTCAGCAACAAATGTATAGCCTTAGGATAAATGCCCAAGGTCTACTTTGAAATCTATAACACTAATTGCCACTATATAGGAATGATGGGTTCAACACTTAACAACAGTACCAACAATAAAACCCATGAACCAGATCTAGCATCTGACAGCATGTGTCTGCTATGTTGTCCACTATATTTATAATCACAAAAGCTTGAATGATAAGGAATTACATAACCTATGTAATTTGTATTATATAGTGGGATTACAGTTTCTTAAGTAAGAAAAATAGGTAGGAAGATTAAAGGAAGTTTGAAGTGTTTGAAAAAGTGAACAAAAGTGAGGCAGGAGATCAGAAGCACGTATCAGCTGTAAAGAAGAAGGAATCACAAGTTAACTGAAAGTCATTTAAAAAGAGAGGAGGAGGAGGGAAGAGGAAAATTTATCTATTACTGGAGGAAGAGAGTCAAGAAGGGTAGATAGGAGGGCCTAGAACCTAAGTATAAATGAACCACCAAATGTATGATTGAAACAACTTGAACCCTCATATAATTGTAACCCATCTAAGTCTAATTTAGGCTAAATAATGAACAAATGCAGAAGAGAGCTATTAATAGGTAAGTTAAATGAATGAATACACACACACACACACAGAAACCTATCCACACAGTGAGAGCATAAACAAACATATATACACTCTCATATACACAAAATCATGAGTAATGAAAAAAGTGAAGAATAACACCATAAAATGTTTGAAAAAATGGAAAAATTTAAAAAGCATAAAATGAAAATATGGAGAAAAAAAGAAAAAGAAAAAAATCTTAATGAGACATAGAGGGCTTATTTCTATGGTAGTGGTCAAATCTCTTGGCAAGGATGGATTCTCCATCTTCATATTTATTTTTGGCTCTGTATTTTTGTCCACTGTCCTTATGTTCCTCACCTAGCTGCTAGCCGGGTATAGCAGCCTTTGGCTTCCAATCTCCCAGAATTGGGTAGGATAGACTAGGAACTGATGATGACTTGGGTGATCCCATAGTTAGGATGATGCAGAGTTCTGGAATGGGGTTTCCAGTTGTTAAGTTTTGGACTTTGATGGGTTTTTGGATTTGGGTTTCCAGTTGTTAAGTTTTTGGACTTTTGATGAACTTTGTAGGTGGTTATTTGAGATCTGGCCCATTCGTCTATTGATGTGGAGCTTCCTATCTCTGCCAGTCTTCTACATCTCCGGGGATTCCAGAAAAATCCACTTTTAGGGCATAAGGACTAAGCCTCCACAGATTTAACCTTCACCTCTATGGAGGTGACTTTCCAGTATCCTCCCTAGAGTGCAAATATGCTTGTGTGGCCACAGTGAACATCTTCGCAAGAGCTCTCCTAGGGTGCCAGCTATTATGGGATTTTTCTCCCTTGGGATCCAGAGGCTGGGTGGTCCAGGAAAAATGTTCTTTCTGCCTGTTTCAGTCTCTGGTTCAGGGACTCTCTGAGAAATTTTTCATGGACTCCTTTATGAGATCTCAGTGTATATCATCCTCTCATTCTTACACTTAGCTACGCCAGCTGTGATGGAACAGCTTTGGGCTCCGGGAACATTTTCCTCACCTGCCAGCATGTTGTGCACTTCCAAAGGGCTGCCCAGGAGCAGGATGGGGTAGAACAGGAGGAGGGGTTTCCTTGCTGCATTCCCAAAGGGATCGCCACCACTCCCGCCCCCAGCTGATACGCTTACCCTACCAACTCTGTGTTGGTAGGGTAAGCCTTTAAATCAGCCTTTCTCTGTAAACCACAGATTGCCCTAGATCAATCTTTCTTTTTATTTTATAATTTCTTTATCCACTAGCCATGCAGTTCCTTTTGTATGAACTCCCTGCTCAGCTCTGCTGGTGGCAGGAGCTGGCATGTCTCTAAGGTATTATTTCTTATGCTCAAGTCTATGATTTCTTTTCAGTTCAGTATTATGGTTGAGTGAAGTTCCTTTGTTACCCAGCTCGCTGAGGAACAATCTTCCCACTTTATAAGTCTGGTGCTAAGGAACTGCTGGGCTGTGCTTCCTTCCTCTACTCTGCCATCCTGCCCCCTACCACTCATCATTTCTTCCTTTGACAACAAATGGTACTTTTAACAGATCTTATGGATGGGATTGATTTCCTTCTGTATTGCACTAAAGCAATTTCTGATGGAGCCATCCACACCAATAGCTATGTGTCATGCACTATATACATAGTAAACAATAAATGCTTTAATTAAGTGGAATTGAGTCTGCCTTGTTAGCTTCAAGTCAATAAGTACAAATAATCATTCCAATGATTGAAATATATTTGGTCCATTGATTCCAGGAAACATATAACCTACCAAAGCTTATCCAACTTCTACTTTTTTCATAAACATTGACACAAAATAGCTTTCTGTACCATTGTACTTCACAACAAATAGAAATATGAATGTTTCAGGCTGGGGTGTGGCTCATTGATAGAGCACTTGCCTAGCATGTGTGAGGGATTGAGTTCAAATCTCAGCACTGGATATAAATAAATAAAATCAAGTCCAAAAAAGAAGAAGGAAATATGAATATTGCAACAATTCCCAAGAGATTCAGAGGCAGAGAAAATAGGTGGCTAATAAAGGATCCAGGGGCACAGTCTATATTATTAAAGCCTTAATAGAACAGCAGAGTTACCACACCCTTGACACAATCATGACAACCTCCTTTTGCTAACCCTCTGTGAAAAGTTTACTTCCAGGTCCTTCTAACCACATCATGTTCTCATCAATCACTGTGGCATTACTGAATCTGCTTAGACTCATAGTCTATTGCTACAATGACAACACAAGGGACAATATTGCAAAATCCAATGCATAATTGATGCACTCCATAATGAAGACCCATTCAGTAATTACATTCCCTCCTATTAAAACTGCAGAAGCATGTGTGACAAGAATTAAAACATTTCTTAACAGCAGAAATAAATTTGAGTATTCTCTAATTTGAATGCATTGTTTTTGTAATGTTGGGAATATTTACCTAGGATACTTATAAGCACCATTACCTTAGCATAAATATTGTGATACTCTGCTTGCATTTATATTCTTCATAACTCCCTTCCCATGCCTCCACCACAAATCCCTGCTTGTGACCCATCCTCAGCAGAAGACCCCCACTTATAGTCAGAGGCTTAGGACCTGCTAAGGTGAATAAAGACAAAGTCAAAATCCCAAATGAAATTCAAACAGGGAAGACTTCCAATGTACTGCCTATAATGGAAAATAGCACATTTAACAATTGGAGGTCTTTATCTAACTGAGAGTGCCCTCCAGAATGTCTATGAAACTCTTTGCTGTATTTTGGCTTTTTCAACAAAATC